TTCTTACTTCCACGCGTACGCGTTTTAGATATCGATTGAAGTGCGTTGTCGCCTGTTCTCTGTCTGGATAATTGCCTGTGAACTTTCACACGGGGCTTAGTCTGGCCAGGAGCGGTATGGTCTGGCCCAGTCGAGTTTAAACCCCCGGGGGGTCTAGTTTAGCCTTGGAGACTTCATCCCCCCCCCCCCCCCCCCGGGTATACTCTGGACTGGGCCAAACTATACCCGGGTTTAATCGGGGCAGGGGTTATTTTAGCCTGTCGGGATGGAACTCACGACCTCCTGTACACCCGGCGAGGTAGTTAACATCTCCTAGCCACCGTGATGATGAGAGACACCGCAAACTCCAAATATACAGCAGCAGGTGTCATGGTCTGGATCGAACCCACGACCTGCTGCGTACCAGGCGAGGTAGTCAACATCTCCTAGCCACCGTGATGATGAGAGAGACACAGCAAACTCCAAATAGACAGCAGCAGGCATCGTCAGGGTCGGGATGGAACTCACGACCTCCTGTATACCAGGCGAGGTAGTCAACATCTCATAGCCACCGTGATGAGAGAGAGAGAGAGACACACAAACTCCAAACATACAGCAGCAGGCTTCAGGGTCGGGATGGAACTCACGACCTCCTGTACACCCGGCGAGGTAGTCAACATCTCATAGCCACCGTGATGATGATGAGAGACACGCAAACTCTAAATATACAGCAGCAGGTGTCAGGGTCGGGATCGAACCCACGACCTCCTGCGCACCAGGCGAGGTAGTTAACATCTCCTAGCCACCGTGATGATGAGAGAGACACCGCAAACTCCAAATAGACAGCAGCAGGCATCGTCAGGGTTGGGATCGAACCCACGACCTCCTGCACACCAGGCGAGGTAGTCAACATCTCCTAGCCACCGTGGTGATGATGAAAGAGAGAGACACAGACCTCCTGCGCACCAGCCGCGGTAGTCAACATCTCATAGCCACCTTGATGATGAGAGAGACACCACAAACTCCAAACATACAGCAGCAGGCGTAGCCATGGTCTTGATCGAACCCACGACCTCCTGCGCACCAGGCGAGGTAGTCAACATCTCCTAGCCACCGTGATGATGATGAGAGAGAGAGACACAGACCTCCTGCGCACCAGGCGAGGTAGTCAACTCTCCTAGCCACCGTGATGATGATGAGAGAGAGAGACAGACCTCCTGCGCACCAGGCGAGGTAGGTCAACATCTCCTAGCCACCGTGATGATGATGAAGAGAGAGAGAGACACAGACCTCCTGCGCACCAGGCGAGGTAGTCAACATCTCCTAGCCACCGTGATGATGATGAGAGAGAGAGAGAGACACAGACCTCCTGCGCACCAGGCGAGGTAGTCAACATCTCCTAGCCACCGTGATGATGATGAGAGAGAGACACAGACCTCCTGCGCACCAGGCGAGGTAGTCAACATCTCCTAGCCACCGTGATGATGATGAGAGAGAGAGACACAGACCTCCTGCGCACCAGGCGAGGTAGTCAACATCTCATAGCCACCGTGATGATGATGAGAGAGAGAGACACAGACCTCCTGCGCACCAGGCGAGGTAGTCAACATCTCATAGCCACCGTGATGATGATGAGAGAGAGACACAGACCTCCTGCGCACCAGGCGAGGTAGTCAACATCTCATAGCCACCGTGATGATGATGAGAGAGAGAGACACAGACCTCCTGCGCACCAAGCGAGGTAGTCAACATCTCCTAGCCACCGTGATGATGATGAGAGAGAGACACAGACCTCCTGCGCACCAGGCGAGGTAGTCAACATCTCCTAGCCACCGTGGTGATGATGAAAGAGAGAGACACAGACCTCCTGTAGACCAGCCGCGGTAGTCAACATCTCATAGCCACCTTGATGATGAGAGAGACACCACAAACTCCAACATACAGCAGCAGGCGTAGCCATGGTCTTGATCGAACCCACGACCTCCTGCGCACCAGGCGAGGTAGTCAACATCTCCTAGCCACCGTGATGATGATGAGAGAGAGAGAGACCACAGACCTCCTGCGCACCAGGCGAGGTAGTCAACATCTCCTAGCCACCGTGGGGCAGTCATGGCTAGAGTGGTGGAGGGGGCGTGTCACCCTCCGTGTCTGGGCGGTGCGTTCAGACCGGCTCTGGTTTGGCCCCGGAACCGTCTCGTTCCGAGTCGGTCAAGTGGCGTTCCTCGTTCGATTCGGCCGTGTGAGCTCCCCGCTCGGGGCAACCCCCGGGCAGCTTGAGTGGCGCAAGGAAATACACAGGCAGGGACACAATGTTCCACACTGCCCACCAGGGATTATTTATCTGTCTGTCTGTCGTGCATAAATAAATATATAATACAAACAGCTCTTTGATTGGTGGAGACCTACTGCCGGGTACGGAGAGGGGAGGGGCCTAAGGGAGGGGGTCAGGGGAGGGGCCTGAGGATATGGGGGGGGTGGTCAGGGGAGGGGCCTAAGGGGGGAGGGGCCTAAGGGAGGGGGGGTCAGGGGAAGGGCCAATAGTGAAGGGGGCTGGCTGCCTGGCTACCTCAAGTCACGTGATCTTGTACACAGGGAGAGGAACAACAGGTTCCACACTTGCCCACCAAGGATTATTTGTCTGTCTGTCGTGCACGAATGCGCTGTCCAACCAAGTTCCTACCTACCCACTCCGAAGGAACGTGTTTTTTAAACGATGCGAAATAACGGCACCAAACTGTTCATTTAACTACTTTCAAGTTTCCGGATGGGAAAGCGGAACAGCGCCGGCTCACCGCGGGGCTTGCGGCGTGGAACCAGCGACTCGTCGTCAACGTCAACTCCACGGCTCGCGAGCCGAACCCTTCGCAAGTCTAGCGTACACACGGAGACAGACGGACGGACAGACAGACACACGGAAAAAAACATGTTCCTTCGCAGTGTGCAGGTCGGAACTTGGTTGGACAGCGCATTCGTGCACGACAGACAGACACATAATCCCTGGTGGGCAGTGTGGAACCTGCTGTTCCTCTCCCTGTGTACAAGATCACGTGACTTGAGGTAGCCAGGCAGCCAGCCAGGCAGACAGCCCCCTTCACTATCGGCCCCTCCCCCTCCCTCAGGCCCCTCCCCTGACCCCCCCCTCAGGCCCCTCCCCTGACCCCCCGGTCCCTTAGGCCCCTCCCCTGACCCCCCCATATCCTTAGGCCCCTCCCCTGACCCCCCCTCCCTTAGGCCCCTCCCCTGACCCCCCCCTCCCTTAGGCCCCTCCCCTGACCCCCGTCCCTTAGGCCCCTCCCCTGACCCCCCCCATATCTTTAGGCCCCTCCCCTGACCCCCCCCCCCTCAGGCCCCTCCTCTGACCCCCCCCTTCCTTAGGCCCCCTCCCCTCTCCGTACCCGGCAGTAGGTCTCCACCAATCAGAGAGCTGTCTATATTATATATTTATTTATCCACGGCAGACAGACAGACAAATAATCCCTGGTGGGCAGCAGTGTGGGACATTGTTCCTACCTGTAAAAAGTGTCGTTTATAGGTAAGAAAATAAAAACGATGACGAGACTCAACGAGGAACACGGGATTTATTCGGTTCACGAGTCAACGGATATAACTTCAAAACCCTTTTGTGGGTCGTCGTTCTCTTGAGGCGGCGTTGCCGCGGGATTACTTCCAAATCGACGGGCAACACCCAAAGCAGAGCGAGCAGCTTGAGTAGCCCACTTCAGCTGTGTGTCTGTGTGTGTCTGTGTGTGTCTGTGAGTGTGTCTGTGAGTGTGTCTGTGTGTGTCTATGTGTCTGTGTGTGTCTGTGTGTGTCACTGAGTCTGTGTGTGGTCTGTGTGTCTCTGTGTGTGTCTATGTGTCTCTGTGTGTGTCTGTGTGTGTGTCTCTGTGTGTGTCTGTGTGTCTATGTGTGTGTCTCTGTGTATGTCTGTGTGTGTCTCCGTGTGTGTCTATGTGTCTGTGAGTGTGTCTGTGTGTGTCTGTGTGTGTCTGTGTGTGTGTCACTGAGTCTGTGTGTGTGTCACTGAGTCTGTGTGTGTGTCACTGAGTCTGTGTGTGTGCCTGTGTGTGTGTCACTGAGTCTGTGTGTGTGTCTGTGTGTGTGTCACTGAGTCTGTGTGTGTGTCTGTGTGTGTGTCTGTGTGTGTGTCACTGTGTCTGTGTGTCTGTGTGCGTGTCACTGAGTCTGTGTGTTTGTCACTGAGTCTGTGTGTGTGTCTGTGTGTGAGTCTGTGTGTGTGTCACTGTGTCTGTGTGTGTGTCTGTGTGTGTGTCACTGAGTGACACACACACAGACACACACAGACACACACAGCGACACATACAGCGACACGGAGCGATAGTGTAGCGGTTAGCGCGCTGCGCTATGAACCCGGTGACCCGAGTTCGATTCCCGCTCACGGCCAACACCAGTGACGATTATCTGAACCGGTCCTGGGCCTCCCCTAGGTCGACTCAGCCTCAAATGAGTACCTGGTGCGGTGTGTAAACATCACCACTAGGGAGACAAAGGCGGTCGGGCGTGGTGCTGGCCACCCACCCCCTCGTGTGCCGTGCTGGCCTTCATAGGTGCTCGCTAACAGCACTTGCCCCTACAGTCTGTTAAGGCTATATGGGGGATCTTTGTTGTCACTGAGTCTGTGTGTGTGTCACTGAGTCTGTGTGTGTCTGTGTGTCTGTGTGTGTGTCTGTGTGTGTGTCACTGAGTCTGTGTGTGTGTCACTGAGTCTGTGTGTGTGTACGTGTGTGTGTCTGTGTGTGTGTCACTGAGTCTGTGTGTGTCTGTGTGTGTGTCTGTGTGTGTCTGTGTGTGTGTCACTGAGTCTGTGTGTGTCTGTGTGTGTGTCACTGAGTCTGTGTGTGTCTGTGTGTGTGTCTGTGTGTGTCTGTGTGTGTGTCTGTGTGTGTGTCTGTGTGTGTGTCTGTGTGTGTGTCTGTGTGTGTGTCTGTGTGTGTGTCTGTGTGTGTGTCACCGAGTCTGTGTGTGTGTGTCTGTGTGTGTGTCACTGAGTCTGTGTGTTTGGAAGTTGTCGTCATTGTCGCTGTCTTCGGAGGACGAGTACGGATCCAGAAACAATCTCTGCACACACACACGTACACACACACACACACGTAAACACACACACGTACACACACACACGTACACACACACGTGCACACTAACACACACACACGTACACACACACACGTTCACACACACGTACACACACACACGTACACACACGTACACACACACACGTACACACACACACGTACACACGCACACGTACACACGCACACTAACACACACACACGTACACACACACACGTTCACACACACGTACACACACACACGTACACACACACGTACACACACACACGTACACACGTTCACACACACACGTACACACACACACGTTCACACACACACACGTACACACGCACACACGCACACGTTCACACGTAACACACACACACGTACACACACACGTACACACACACACGTACACACACACGTTCACACACACACGTACACACACACACGTACACACACGTACATACACACACGTTCACACACACACGTACACACACGTACACACACACACATACACACACACGTACACACACACACGTACACACACACACGTACACAACACACGTTCACACACACACGTACACACACACACGTTCACACACACACACACGTTCACACACACACGTACACACACACACGTACACACACACACACGTTCACACGCACACGTACACACGCACACGTACACATGCACACGTTCACACACACACGTACACACACACACACGCTCACACACACACACGTACACACACACACGTTCACACACACACGTACGCACACACACGTACGCACACACACGTACGCACACACACGTACGCACACACACGTACGCACACACACGTACACACACACGTTCACACACACGTTCACACACACTTACACACCACACGTTCACACACACACGTACACACACACCACGTACACACACACGTTCGCACACACACGTACGCACACACACGTACACACACACGTTCACACACACACGTTCACACACACTTACACAACAACAACAACCGCCATTCGCCACTAATTGGCGGTGACGTCACCACGACGCTTGTGCCAGGCCAAGTGCACCTTGAGGCCATGTGAAGTGTCGAACGCCCGCTGACAGGAGGTCACGGGTGCCACGGGTCGACTGACCAAGATGACCGAGATGACTGGCTGATGCACCACCTGTGCCCCCTATTGTACCAACTTGCTGTGCTTTAGCCACCCGGCGCTCCGCTCATTGTTGTGAGCGTCGCTCCTCCGCCCTCCTTTGATGTTGGAGGGCGACTGCCTCCAACTGCCCAGTAGCGTCCTTCACGAGCCTCCTCCACTAAGGCCGATCTTGACACCTGGTACCAGTCATCGGCAAGTCCACTCAGCTCCACGTCCTCCTGCACCACATCACTCCATCTCTTCTCTAGCCCGTGCCGCGCCCGTTTAGCCCCCTCGATCCGGCTGAACAAAAGCTGTTTAGGCATGCGGTGGCTGGGCATGCGGGCTACATGACCCAGCCAACGCAGCCTTGCCTGCCGGAGGAGCTCACCGATGGGACTTTGCCCAGATCTTTCAAGGATTTGTGAGCTCCTCACACAATCCAGCCTGGTTAAACCCAAGATGGATCGTAGGCAGGCCAGCCTAAATGTTTTCAACCGGCGAAGATGCTCCATTAGGGGGGTCCACGTTTCGCAAGCGTAGAAAAGGGAGGGAATGACCGTGGCCCAGAAGACCTGAAGCTTCGTGCGGAGCGACAGACCAGGTAGCTTCCACACAGCGTTACGCAACCGATGAAAAGATATTGCCGCTCGACTGATTCGGAGTGAGACCTCTGCTGACAAACTGGAGCCGGTCATAAGCACACTGCCCAGGTATGGGAAACTCTCCACTCTCTCCACAACTGCCCCATCACCAATTGGGAGTTGTTGGGGTGGAGTGTCCGATGGTACAAAATACCCAGGCAGGTGCTTAGTTTTGGTGGGGCTGATGGTAAGGCCCCACCTCTTAGTGGCACGCTCCAGTCTCAGCAGCAGCGTCTCCAACTCCTCTTCTGAATGAGCAGCTATTACCAAATCATCGGCATACATAACGTGGTTGACCAATAGGGAGCCATCCCTTGATCGCACCCGGGCGTCGATCAGCCTCCCATTATATCTGTACCAAATGGAAATTCCCCCAGTACAGCTATTGAAGGCGTCACGAACTACGCAGTCGAAATAGATGTTAAATAATGTGGGAGCCAGAGGACATCCCTGTCGCACCCCAAGGTGTACAGAGAAAGGCTCCGACTCCCGGCCACGTAGTTTTACCCGGGCCCGCTCACCATCATGAAGGTCCTTAATGATCGTGAGCAGAGGGTCAGGGACTCCGAAAGCATGAAGACCAACCCAGAGCCCAGGCCTACTGATGGTATCATAGGCCTTGACCAAGTCAATAAAATAGAGATGTAGGTCTTGTTGGAATTCCCTACACCTCTGCTGTAGCAGACGGACAGAAAATATGGCATCTATACAGGACCGCCCTTTCCTGAAACCGCATTGGGGTTCCGCAAGCCTCTCCTCAGCGTGCCTAGCAAGGCGATGTTGAATAATCCTTGCCAGGATCTTTCCCGGCACACTGAGGAGTGAGATGCCCCTGTAGTTGTTACAGTCTGTGCGGTCTCCCTTCTTAAAGAGGGGGACCACCAGGGCATCCTTCCAATCCTGCGGAGCCCGTCCAGCGGTCCAGACTGTTGTTATGATGTCATATAGGGCAATCTGTGCACAAGCACCACCCTCCCACAGCATTTCGCTTGGGAGATCATCTCTGCCCGGTGCCTTTCCTGGTCTCAGGCTCTGGATTGCCTTCAGTACTTCCTCAACGGATGGCACCTCAGTCAGCCACTCACAGGGGGTGACTTCTTCTTCCAATATTTGAGGCACCGAAGCCTCAGCAGGGTTATCCCCACTTTGTGCCATGATGTTTTTCTGGCTGAGAGATTTCCCTCCCCCAGGAGCTCAGAGAAATGCTCAGCAAATCTGCAAACCTGTTCCTGGGGGTCGGAGATTGGATCACCGTTTTTTCCCCTAATGATGGTAATAGGTGTGGCGCTGCAGGTTACTTTTTTGATGGAGTTAAATAGTGATTTGTGATCGCAGGCCACTGAGGCAGATTCCATCTCCTCAGCAACCCGCGACCACCACCCTTCCTTGCAGCGCCTTACGGCTCTCCGAACCTCCAAGCGAAGGCTGCGGTAAACCTCCTCATTCTCTGACGTGGGATGCTGTAGGCGATGAGAGTGGGCCTGTCGCTTTTTCCTCAATTAACCTGAACACCTCCTCTGTCAGCCAGGGTTTCTGGGGAGGTCTGGACCGCCATTGCAGCTGCATGAGTCACAGTCTTAAACCTCGCCCATTTACCCTCGACATCAGGTGGAGTGGGGGACGATGCCAACCCCAGCTGCAAGCGATGATGAAATTCTCTCTTGCAACTTTCATCAGCTAACTGAGACCAGGCCACTTTTGGTTGGAATGGGATCCTGGGTGTACACCCACCACCGGAGTGGATAAATGGCAGGCGCATCTTACAGATGACTAGTCGATGGTCAGAGGGCAGATCAGCTCCACGGTAGGCTCCCTGGTGTCAAGGACATGGGCTCGCATCCGCTGGTCCGTCACTATGTAGTCCAGCAGATGTTCTTGCTTGGACCCGGCATGCATCCATGATGTTGTGTGGATGCGCCGATGCCGGAAGAGCGTGTTGGTAATTACAAGCCCATGGGCTGCACAAAAATCTAGCAGCCTCCTACCATTGTTATTGAGCTGATCTGGCCCATGCCTTCCAATCACTCCAGACCAGGTGCCAGCATCATGACCAACTCGGGCATTGAAGTCCCGAGTGGCCAACTTTAGCCAGCACCTGTGACAGGAGGTCATAGAAAGCGTCTGACTCATCGGCTTTGCCTGCATCCCTCCACGGATGTTCGTCTTCGGTGGGGGCATAAGTAACCACGACCACCACTCCTCGCCTCCGGTTGATGGGATGGCGAGCCCAAAGTATCCTGGGGCTTACAGCTTCCCACACCTCCCACGCCCCCTTCATTCTTTTGTTCAGAAGAAGAGCCACACCCTGTTGTTTGGCAGTCTCCTGCCCCGAGTAGAGGACTGCCCACCCCTCAAGAGCCAGAACCGGTCCACCGGACCTCCTGAATGCCACAGAGATCCAGGCGGTACCGGTCCAGCTCCCGACAAAGGAGTGGCAGCCTCTCCTCCGCAGTGAGCGTTCGAACATTCCACGTGGCCAACCGCAATGGTTTTTCGTTGTTTCTGGAGGAGCCCCGAGGGTGAAGATTCAATCTCCTGGCTCCGCCAAATGGGGTTTGGCCAGGAGACGTCATAAAAGCCTGACCCCCCGGGGCCTCCGGCACAAGCTTATTAGTTACAGGTTTATGTTTAATTCGTGGTTTCGTGGTAATTAATAGAAGGTGGAGGGGTTACCAGCCCCTCGCAGCCGTCCAGAGCCCCCGTTTAGCCACTGTGGTGGTCACAGATGCCATGAGGGGAGAGGCCAATGGGCATTGGCCCTCCCCCCACAGCACTGCCCACGACAGTGTTGCCCGTCCGGCACACACGTTCACACACACGTACACACACACGTACACACACACGTACACACACACGTACACACACACGTACACACACACACGTACGCACACACGTACACACACGTACGCACACACGTACACACACACGTACACACACGTACACACACACACGTACACACACACACGTACACACACACGTACACACACACACGTACGCACACACCGACCTTTGAGCTGGACAGTGTCCGCGAACTGCGTCTTTTTTTCTCGTACCACACTCCTTGGTTGAAGACGGGGCTGTGGGTAACCACATTGACAGCACTCACCCACAGCGGCACTCACCACGCAGACACCCATAGACATCACCACACAGACACCCATAGACATCACCACACAGACACCCATAGACATCATCACCACGCAGACACCCATAGACATCACCACACAGACACCCATAGATTCACCACACAGAGACAGATGTGTCATAAATCCGCTCCGGACGATATCGTGTCTTTTGTCTGGTCTGTATTTGTTCTCCATGTACACAGCTCCCTCACACGCCGGGTTCCTTTTCCCCCGTTACTCCAGTGTGGCGTTCGCTCGCTCGCTCCCTCACACCTCTCCACCAGAGGTTGCAACCGGGTATCCGATACCCGGCTACCCGTACCCGGCCGGGTACGGGTAGCCGTTTGCGACCCTGGTGCGGCCGGGTACGGGTAGGCCGTGAGTCACTGGTGAGTAACCATTTGTCACTCATTTCGGGTAGGGTACGGGTAGGGAACGGGTACCCGTACCCAGCCGGGTACAGGTAGGGTACGGGTATCGGGTATAGGTAGGGTACGGGTACAGGTAGGCCGTGAGTCACCGGTGAGTAACCGTTTGTCACTCGTTTCGGGTAGGGTACGGGTAGGGAACGGGTACCCGTACCCAGCTGGGTACGGGTAGGGTACGGGTACGGCCGGGTACGGGTACCCGTTTACGACCCTGGTGCGGCCGGGTACGGGTGTCGGGTACGGGTAATCGGGTACAGGGGGTAAGGAATCAAAACCCGTTTGCGACCTCTGCTCTCCACACTGACCACGAGCTTGTGTCTCTCTACCCCTTACACCACGTGGCCCACGTGATGCCACCCATCCAATCAGCAGCCTCACCCCTGGAACCTTCTAGATGTTGCTGTGCAGCCCCAGGGCCACGCCTCTGGCTCGACATCCCATTGGCTGCGGGCTGAGGCCGGCAGAGCCAATCACCATCGCCCAGTTATCCCCCCCCCCCAGACACACACACACAATATGCATCTTCATATTACACGTGTATGTTATGTGTGTATGTATATGTGTGTGTATGTGTGTGCATGTATATGTGTGTATGTGTATGTATATGTGTGTGTATGTATATGTGTGTGTATGTGTGTGTATGTGTAGGGATTATTACGGGAGAAACGGCGGACAACAAACACAGGGGTGTTGGCACTCACATACACGGGTGGTCACACCGACGTCCGCATCCGTTATTGCCCACGCCCCCAGCCCTCGGAGGTGATCCCTATAAAAGGTGGAGACCCAAAGAGCTCGAGGCAGTTCGACACGAAGCTGACCAGTGAAGATCCAAGACTCGGAGATTAGGCCCTGGGACTCCCCGGTCTCGCTGTCCTTATAAGGGCCGAGCCGGGTAAGCCAGCGGCGCGGCCCAAAAGCTTCCAGACCGCTGCCCTTATCAGGGCAAGGCTGGTTAGCTGGTGCCGAGATCTGTGCTTGCCAGGGCCAGATCAGTCAGCCTCCCGTAGCCCAGTAGAGGAGGACTGGGGAACAGGACAGGGGGCTTAGTACTAGGGTGGGTTTCCCATAGTACGGGTGAAGGGGTCGATACCCCTTCAACTATTGTGCCTGTCCCTGGGTTAATAAACAGAGTGTGCCTCAACTTCGACATCGTCTCCTCGAACTTACTACATATGTGTGTGTATGTATATGTGTGTGTATGTGAATGGGGAGCGGTAGTGTAGCGGTTAGCGCTACGCTGCGCTATGAACCCGGCGACCCGGGTTCGATTCCCGCTCACGGCCAACACCAGTGACGATTATCTGAACCGGTCCTGGGCCTCCCGTAGGTCGACTCAGCCTGAAATGAGTACCTGGTGCGGTGTGTAAACATCGCCACTGGGGAGACAAAGGCGGTCGGGCGTGGTGCTGGCCACACACCCCCTCGTGTGCCGTGCCAGCCTTCATAGGTGCTCGCTAACAGCACTTGCCCCTACAGTCTGTTAAGGCTATACGGAGGATCTTTGTCTTGTGTATGTGTAATGGCAGGGTGACACCTGAGGGGTTACTGCGGTTATAGCTGCATGACGTAACGCCTCATCGTGAAGGGGCGCATCTTGGGTCGAAGATGAAGGGCTGAGTCAGTCGAGAAGCTGATGTCGAGGGTAAATGGGCGAGGTTTAGGACTGTGACTCACGCAGCTGCAATGGCTGCTTTGGGTATGCGGTCCAGACCTCCCCAGAGACCCTGGCTGACAGAGGAGGTGTTCAGGATAGTTGAGAAAAAGCGACAGGCCCACTCTCATCAGCTACAACATCCCACGTCGGAGAATGAGGCTTCGCTCGGAGGTTCGGAGAGGCGTGAGGCGCTGCAAGGATGGGTGGTGGTCGCGGATCACAATTTCCTATTTAACTCCATCAAAAAAGTAACCTGCAGCGCCACACCTATTACCATCATTAGGGGAAAAAACGGTAATCCAATCTCCGACCCCCAGGGAACAGGTTTGCAGATTTTTTGAGCATTTCTGTGAGGTCCTGGGGGAGGGGAAATCCCTCAGCCAGGAAAACATCATGGCACAAAGTGGGGATGCCCCTGTTGAGGCTGCGGTGCCTCAAATATTGGAAGAAGAAGTCACCCCCTGTGAGTGGCTGGCTGAGGTGCCATCTGTTGAGGAAGTACTGAAGGTGATCCAGAGTCTGAGACCAGGAAAGGCACCGGGCAGAGATGATCTCCCAAGCGAAATGCTGAGGGAGGGTGGCGTTTGTGCACAGACTGCCCTACATGACATCATAACAACAGTCTGGACCACTGGACGGGTTCCGCAGGACTGGAAGGATGCCCTGGTGACCCCCTCTTTAAGAAGGGGGACCGCACAGACTGTAACAACTACAGGGGTTTCAGGAAAGGGCAGTCCTGCACAGATGCCATATTTTCTGTCCGTCTGCTACAGCAGAGGTGTAGGGAATTCCAAAAGACCTACATCTCTGCTTTATTGACCTGGTCAAGGCCTATGATACCATCAGTAGGACTGGGCTCTGGGTTGTTCTTCGTGCTTTCGGAGTCCCTGACCCTCTGCTCACGATCATTAAGAACCTTCATGATGGTGAGTGGGCCCGGGTAAAACTACGTGGCCGGGAGTCGGAGCCATTCCCTGTACACCTTGGGGTGCGACAGGGATGTCCTCTGGCTCCCACATTATTTAACATCTATTTTGACCACGTAGTTCGTGAAGCCTTCAATAGCTGTACCAGGGGAATTTCCATTTGGTACAGATATAATGAGAGGCTGATCGATGCCCGGGTGCGGTCAAGGGATGGCTCCCTATTGGTCAACCACGTTATGTATCCCGATGATTTGGTAATTGCTGCTCATTCAGAGGAGGAGTTGGAGACGCTGCTGCTGAAACTGGAGTGTGCCACTAAGAGGTGGGGCCTTACCATCAGCCCCACCAAAACTAAGCACTTGCCTTGGTATTTTGTACCATCGGACACTCCACCCCCACAACTCCTAATCGGTGATGGGGAAGTTGTGAAGAGAGTGGAGAGTTTCCCATACCTGGGCAGTGTGCTTATGACCGTCTCTGGTTTAACAGCAGAGGTCTCACTCCGAATCAGTCGAATGGCATGTATCTTTTAATCGGTTGCGTAACGCTATGTGGAAGCTTCAGGTCTTCTCGGCCACGGTCATTCCCTCCCTTCTCTACGCTTGCGAAACGTGCACTCCCCTAATGGAACATCTTCGCCGGTTACCCAGATCTTTCAAGGATCACAAATCCTTGAAAGATCTGGGCAAAGTCCCATCGGTGAGCACCTCCAGCAGGCAAGGCTGCGTTGGCTGGGTCATGTAGCCCGCATGGCCAGCCACCGCATGCCTAAACAGCTTTTGTTCGGCCGGAACAAGGGGGCGAAACTGGCGCGGCACGGGTTATAGAAGAGATGGAGTGATGTGGTACAGGAGGACGTGGAGCTGAGTGGACTTGCCGATGACTGGTACCAGCAGTGTCAAGATCAGCCTCTGTGAGCGACGCTCACAACAACGAGCGGAGTGCTGGGTGGCTAAAGCACAGCAAGTTGGCACAGTAGGGGGCACAGGTGGTGCATCAGCCAGTCGTCTCGGTCATCACAGTCAGTCGACCCGTGGCACCTGCTGGGTCTGCCCCGTGACCTCCTGCCAGCGGGTGTTCGACACTTCACGTGGTAGCCTCACGGTGCACATGGCCTGGCACAAGCGTCGTGGTGACGTCACCGCCACTTAGTGGCGAATGGCGGTTGTGTGTTGTTGTTGTATATATATGTATGTGTATGTATGTGTGTGTATGTGTGTATGTGTGTATGTATGTGTGTGTATGTGTGTGTATGTATATATATGTATGTGTATGTATGTGTGTGTATGTATGTGTGTATGTATGTATATGTATGTATATATATGTGTGTGTATGTATGTGTTGTGTATGTATATATATGTGTATGTATATATATGTATAAGTGTGTGTGTACCTCTTTCTCTCCTGCTCCGTGGGGCTGCCTCGCCCCGTGAGGCTCCGCTGGCGCTTGAGGACGACGTGGGAGGAGGAGGAGGCCATCAACACCTCCTCACTGTCACCCTCCTCGTCCTCCACCTCCTCACCCTTCTCATCCTCATCCACCTCACCCTCCACCTCCTCCGCACCCTCCACCTCCTCCTCACTGTCACCCACCTCCTCGTCCTCATCATCCACCTCCTCCTCACCCTCCTCACCCTCCCACCCTTCCCATCCACCTCCTCACCCTCCTCACCCTTCTTATCCAACTCGTCACCCTTCCCATCCTCCACCTCCTCCTCACCCTTCCCATCCTCCACCTCACTCTTATCTTCCACCTCATCTCCCTTCTCCTCCATTACCACCTCCACCTCATCTCCCTTCTCCGCCATCACCACCTCCACCTCCTTGACCTTCTCCTCCACCACCACCTCCACCTCCTTGACCTTCCCGATGAGGTCACCGCCAGCGGCCACAACATCTCCCTTCTCCTCCACCATCACCACCTCCACCTCATCGCCCTTCTCCTCCACCACCACCTCCAACCCTTGACCTTCCCGGCGCTGTCACCACCAGCGGCCACGGCATTTCCCTTCTCCGCCATCATCACCACCTCCACCTCATCGCCCTTCTCCTCCACCACCACCTCCAACCCCTTGACCTTCCCGGTGAGGTCACCGCCGCCACCGCGACCGGCGCCGCTCAACGTAGTGGGTCACCGCGGCGCAGCCCGGCACGGCCTCCTTGGTGTGAAGACATCCTGCAGCTGCCAACACCGACTCACACAGAGACACACAGACTCACTACACAGAGACCCACAGACTCAATACACAGAGACCCACAGACTCACTACACAGAGACTCACACAGACTCACCACACAGAAAACCCACAGACTCACTACACACAGAGACTCACACAGACTCACCACACAGAGACCCACAGACTCACTACACAGAGACCCACACAGACTCACACAGAGACCCACAGACTCACTACACAGAGACCCACACAGACTCACACAGAGACCTACAGACTCACACAGAGATCCACACAGAGACCCATAGACTCACACAGAGACCCACGGACTCACCACACAGAGACCCACAGACTCACTACACAGAGACCCACACAGACTCACACAGAGACCCATAGACTCACTACACAGAGAGACCCACAGACTCACACAGAGACCCACAGACTCACACAGAGACCCACAGACTCACCACACAGAGACCCATAGACTCACCACACAGAGACTCACAGACTCACCACACAGAGACCCACAGACTCATCACACAGAGACCCACAGACTCATCACACAGAGACCCACAGACTCACCACGCAGAGACTCACAGACTCACCACGCAGAGACCCACAGACTCACCACACAGAGACCCATAGACTACTCACACAGAGACCCACAGACTCACCACACAGAGACCCACAGACTCATCACACAGAGACCCACAGACTCACCACACAGAGACCCACAGACTCATCACACAGAGACCCACAGACTCACCACACAGAGACCCACAGACTCACCACACAGAGACCCATAGACTCACCACACAGAGACCCACAGACTCACCACACAGAGACCCACAGACTCACACACAGAGACCCACAGACTCACCACACAGAGACCCACAGACTCATCACACAGAGACCCACCAGACTCACCACACAGAGACCCACAGACTCATCACACAGAGACCCACAGACTCACCACACAGAGACCCACAGACTCACCACACAGAGACCCATAGACTCACCACACAGAGACCCACAGACTCACCACACAGAGACCCACAGACTCATCACACAGAGACCCACAGACTCACCACACAGAGACCCAACAGACTCATCACACAGAGACCCACAGACTCACCACACAGAGACCCACAGACTCACCACACAGAGACCCACAGACTCATCACACAGAGACCCACAGACTCACCACACAGAGACCCACAGACTCACCACACAGAGACTCACAGACTCACCACACAGAGACCCACAGACTCATCACACAGAGACCCACAGACTCATCACACAGAGACCCACAGACTCACCACGCAGAGACTCACAGACTCACCACGCAGAGACCCACAGACTCACCACACAGAGACCCATAGACTACTCACACAGAGACCCACAGGACTCAGCCACAACAGGAGAACCCACAGACTCATCCACACAGAGACCCACAGACTCATCCACACAGAGACCCACGCTCACCACAGAGACCCACAGACTCACACACAGAGACCCACAGACTCACCACACAGAGACCCACAGACTCACCACACAGAGACCCACAGATCATCACCACACGAGACCCACAGACTCACACACAGAGACCCACAGACCTATCACACAGAGGACCCACAGCTCACACACACAGAGACCCACAGACTTCATCACACAGAGACCCACAGACTCACCAGCACAGAGACCCATAGACTCATCACACAGAGACCCCACTAGACTCACCACACAGAGACCACAGACTAACCACACAGAGACTCGGACCATCACACAGAGACCCATTAGACTCACCACACAGAGACCCCACAGACTCATCACACAGAGACCCACAGACTCATCCACACAGAGACCCCAGACTCCCACACAGAGACCCACAGACTCATCACACAGAGACCCACAGACTCACCACACAGAGACCCACAGACTCACCACACAGAGACCCACAGACTCATCACACAGAGACCCACAGACCTCACCACACAGAGACCCACAGACTCATCACACAGAGACCCACAGACTCCCACACAGAGACCCACAGACTCACCACAGAGACCCACAGACTCACCACACAGAGACCCACAGACTCATCACACAGAGACTCACAGACTCATCCACACAGAGACCCACAGACTCACCACACAGAGACCCACAAGACTCATCAACGAGACCCACAGACTCACCACACAGAGACCCACAGACTCACCACAGCAGAGACCCCAGACTCACCACACAGAGACCCACAGACTCATCACACAGAGACCACGACTCACACACAGAGACCCACAGACTCACACACAGAGACCCACAGACTCACCACACAGAGACCCACAGACTCATCACAGAGACCCACAGACCTCACCACACAGAGACCCACAGACTCACCACACAGAGACCCACAGACTCACCACACAGAGACCCACAGACTCACCACACAGAGACCCACAGACTCATCACACAGAGACCCACAGACTCACCACACAGAGACCCACAGACTCATCACACAGAGACCCACAGACTCACACACAGAGACCCACAGACTCATCACACAGAGACCCACGACTCACCACACAGAGACCCACAGACTCACCACACAGAGACCCATAGACTCACCACACAGAGACCCACAGACTCACCACACAGAGACCCACAGACTCCTCACACAGAGACCCACAGACTCACCACACAGAGACCCACAGACTCACCACACAGAGACCCACAGACTCACCACACAGAGACCCACAGACTCACCACACCGAGACCCACAGACTCATCACACAGAGACCCACAGACTCACACCACAGAGACCCACAGACTCACCACACAGAGACCCACAGACTCACCACACAGAGACCCACAGACTCATCACATATAGACCCACAGACTCACCACACAGAGACCCACAACTCACCACACAGAGACCCACAGACTCATCACACAGAGACCCACGACTCACCACACAGAGACTCACAGACTCAACCACACAGAGACCCACAGACTCACCACACAGAGACCCACAGACTCACCACACAGAGACCCACAGACTCATCACACAGAGGACCCACAGACTCACCACCCAGAGACCCACATAATCACCACACAGAGACCCACAGACTCAGCACACAGAGACTCACAGACTCACCACACAGAGACCCACAGACTCACCACACAGAGACCACAGACTCACACACAGAGACCACAGACTCACCACACAGAGACCCACAGACTCACACAGAAACCACAGACTCACATGTCCCCTCTTGTGGGGTTGAGGCTCAGACGTCCGTGCGCTACCTCGCGCAGGCCTCTGTGATCACGTGGGGCCTTAGCAACGCGCTTTTAGAAAAAACGTAGAGCAGATAGGCGACCACGTGATGCGATCCGTATTTAGATTTCGTAGACCTGATAGGCACTGCCCATAGACTCCAACCACTTGCACCATGACTCAACACTGCACATAGACTCAACACTGCCCATAGACTCAACACTGCACCATAGACTCAACACTGCACCATAGACTCAACACTGCACCATAGACTCAGCACTGCACCATAGACTCAACACCTGCACCATAGACTCAACACTACCCATAGACTCAACACTGCACCATAGACTCAACACTGCCCATAGACTCAACACTGCACCATAGACTCAGCACTGCACCATAGACTCAACACTGCACCATAGACTCAACACTGCACCATAGACTCAACACCACCCCTCACCCCCACTCACTCACTCACCCACCCACCTACTCACCCACCCACTCACCCACCCACTCACCACCCACCACTCACCCACCCACTCACCACCCCCTCACATCACTCACCCCCACTCACTCACCCCTCTCACCCACTCACTCACTCACTCACCCACTCACCCACCCACTCACCCACCCACTCACCACCCACTCACTCACCCACCCACCCACCCACTCACCCACCCACCCACTCACCTCACTCACCTACCCACCCACCCACTCACCCACCCCCTCACTCACCCACCAACCCACCACCCACCTCACTCACCCACCCACTCACCACCACTCACTCCCCTCTCACCCACTCACTCACTCACCCACTCACCCACCCACCACTCACCCACCCACTCACCACCCACTCATCACCCCACCACCCACCCACTCCCCCACCCACCCACTCACCACTCACTCACCTACCCACCCACCCACTCACCCACCCACTCACTCACCCACCAACCCACCACCTACTCCCCATCTCACCCACTCACCACCCACTCCCCAACCCCCACTCACTCAACCACTCACCCATTCACTCACTCACTCCCTCCACCCACCCACCACTCACCCACCCACTCACCACCCACTCACTCACCACCCACTCATTCACTTCACCCACTCACCCACCACCTCACCCCCCCACCCCTCCCCACCTACTCACCACCACTCCCCTCACCCACTGACTCACTCAC